GTAGGGAAATAATATACTAACTGGTTCTTGTAACTGACCTACCATTCTCTTACAGGAATGCAGACCATATGAAAGCATATTGGAAAATATCTAGTATCTCAGAGAAGTCTGAGAATGGAGGCAAGTTGAACTCTTTTGTTTTCTTGTACAGAAAAAATTTAACAGTAGAAAGGTTATAATTTAGTCTCTATGCCCTCATGCCTGTTCATGCTACCTCTCATGCTATATCGTGTTGACCAGTTCACCTTCTTCGCACTTAATTTCCACCTGAGAGATTGCAATAACAGTAAGATGTCAAAACATAGATTTATTATAATATTATATAATAATATACTATTATAAAATGAAAAATAGTAAGCCCCTGAAAGCAAGTAGTAGGTCTAAATTAGAGTTTAGACTGGGTAGGAAATTATTATATCAATGCTATTTGGATATGAGCAGTTATTCAAAGGAAAATATGTTTGCTATCTGTGTCATTCCTCATGCTGACCTTTGAAATGAAGTAGAAAATGGTAAGTGGAAGAACTGGGGGGAAGATGATTCTTGACTAATATTTTGTGTTGTAATTTATATAGCATTTTGTAAGGTACCAATGTCCTCTGCCCAGCTACCTTTCGCTGAGATCCAGATAGTGGCTCAGCCCTTGCAGCCTCTCTAGGTGCAATATTTTTCTGAAGCAGGAAATCAAGAGCCAAAGGGAGACCTCTCATTCTCCAAGCCTCTAGCTTTGAGGACTGCTCACCCTCTTAAGAATTTAGAGAAGGGCATTATGGAAACACATACTTGCTTTTAAACGTGACTGGAAAGGGAACACCCTTTTGTTCCTCAAAAGACTGCAAAGCTGTGGTCATCAATTCAAACTAAAACAGAGAGAATTTTATCTGCCAGAGGTTGTTGCTGTAGTCAGGTGTACTTTGTCCTCCACTGACCTCACAGTTCTTTGCCATGTCTTGCATTATAATTATGCAGGGATAGCCCTTATTTGTTCGGGTTTTTGGGTTTTTTTTGGTTTGTGTTTGGGTTTTTGTTGTTGTTTGTTGTGGGGTTTTTGTTTGTTGGTTGTTTTTTATTGTTGTTGTTTGTTTTCCACACTGTGGAGCTTCTTTTAAAAGAAAAAATGTGTTAAAACACAAATGCAGCCAGATGGAGGGCTACTGTATACCTGCAGAGCAGTATAAAATGGGCTGCCAGTGATGCAGATTTGCATCTTGTGTGGGTTCAGC